TGTAAATTTTTTTCTGCAAGTTGATGGGAGACTTGCTTTCTCTAGCATCCAAGTGGCCAATGCCCTCATAATTACTAAATGCAGAAGGCAATTCTTAATCCTCTATTTAGCATTCAACACTGTTAACACCTCCACCTTTTGTTCCTGAATCTCTCCTGGTACCTCTCATACTCTTTTGGCTGCTCTTCCTTTTTCTTTTCTTTTTTTTCTTTTCTTTTCTTTTTTTTTTACAGATTGCAAGGAATTTGTCAGCTTACAATCCCTTATTTTTTATTTTTTACGCCTACAGCACCTGGTCTTCCTAGGTGGTCTCTCATCCAAGTACTAACCAGGCCGACCCTACTTAGCTTCCAAGATCAGACGGGATCAGGTTTGTTCAGGGTGGCATGGTCATAGACTGGCTGCTCTTTCTTGTGTTCTTTATCTAGGTCTTCTATTTGTTTCAATTCTGTTATTAGACTGTTTTTTTATAGCATTTTATGTTCACAGATTAAACACGAGGTACAGAGATTTTCCTTATACCCCCAGCCCCCACATATGCACAGCCTCCCCCATCACTGGCATCCCTCACAGAGTGGTACATTTGTTATAACTGATGAACCTACTTTGACACATCATCACTGAGTCCATAGCTTACCTTAGAGTTCACTCTTGGTGTTGTACATTTGGACAAATGTATAATCACATGCATCTGTCATTGTAGTACCATACAGAACAGTTTCACTACCCTAAAAATCCTGTCTTTCACCCGTTCATCCCTCTTTCTCCCGTAATTCCTGGCAACCACTGATCTTTTTACAGTCTCCACCATTTGAGTTCTAGAATGTCGTATAGTTAGAATCATACCAGGTGTAGCCTTTTCAAATTTACTTATTTTATTTAATAATATGCATTTGAGTTTCCTCCATATCTTTTCATGTTTTCATGGCTTGATAGTTTGTTGTTGTTGTTGTTGTTGTTCTGAATATCATTTCATTGCCCAGATGTACTGCAGTTTATCCACTAATCTACTGAAGGGTATCTTGGTTCCAAGTTTTGACAATCACAAGTAAAGCTGCTATAGGCATTGCTGTGCCAGTTTTTGTGCGGACATAAGTTTTCAACTTCTCTGAGTAAAAACCAAGAAACACGATTGCTGGATCACATGGTACTGTTGCAGAATCACCTCCCAAAATTCAGGTCCATGTGCCCAAAGCACACACAGGTAAACCCAAAACACCGAGACACCAGTGCTTGGAGTCAGACGAAGGTTTATTTGATTTGGGCAAAACAAGAGGACAGGAGAGCAAGATCTCTCAAATTCATCTTTCCCAAAAGCAAAAGTAGGGAGTTTTTATGCAGCTCAGGAGTGGGGCGGAGGGGAGCATTCCAAAGAACTGAGAGAAGTCCATGTTTCTTTAGTCATAAATATCACTTTTTCACATCAGGCTCTTGGGCGCCAGCAGCTGGTTGCAGCTACCTTGGAGACATTCTTTCCTTCTGCAAAACAAACTCATAAATTCTCCTTGAGACCCTGAAGTTACCTCCCGCTTGACAAAGAAACAGTACATCAGCAACACAAAATTATATTGTGAGAACAAAAGGAGTTGAGCAAGAGGAACAGTTAATATGTGAACAAAGGCCTAATTAAGAATCGAATTATTTAATTCTAGCTGCCAAAAATACTAGAGGCATTAAAATCACAAGGGGCTTGTCTACAATATGTTCAATTAATTAAACAAGGAGGCCATTAGACCGAGGTGGCACTAATGCTGTGGTAGCTTAGGTAAGCAAAGCCAAATCTAATCCTGCAAATGGTTCAAGATTATGAAATCAAAAACCACTAAGGACAACCAACCACAAGCAGCTAATGAGACTTTTAGCTATACACAGTCAGATGATCTCCTTTCTTTGCTTCTGCAACTCCTCCCTAGAAGTCTTTTCTCTAGCCCCTGCCAGCGAAGTGCCCCTAACTATGTCCAGTTGGGTGCTGCCCTATTTGAATCGATTTTTGCTCAAATAAACTTAAAAAATTTTTAATATGCCTCTGTTTATCTTTTAACAGATGTGATACTGTGATACAATAAGAAACATATATTTGGTCTTGTCCCTGGTTCCTTTCCCAGAGCTCCTAAAATCCTAATAGTTTACAGAGTAAGGAGTGTCTCTTGTATGCTAATGAGATGACTGGTGGCTGGGGGCTAAATAACTTCAGGATGGGGTCTGGTCACCCAAAGACCTAAGCACAATTAGAGGATCGACTTTCAGTCCCACCCCCAACCTCCTAGGAGGAGAAAGGGGATAGAGTTTGAGTTGATTACCAATGGTTAATGACCTCATCAATCATGCCCAGGTAAGGAAACCTTCACAAAAACCCCTGAACCACAGAGACCTTCCAGGTTGGTAAACACATTCACACGCTGGGAGGGTGGCACATCCCAACACAATGGGGACAGAAGCTCCTGCGCTCAGGACACTTACAGACCTCGCCCTGTGTACCTCTTCATCTGGCTGTTCATTTGTATTCTTTATAATGTCTTTTAAAATAAACAGGTAATAATAAGTTAAGCGTTTCCTTGAGTTCAGTGAGCCATTCTAGCAAATTATCAAACCTAAGAAGGGAATTGTGGGAACTCACAACTTTGTAGCCAAGTTGGAATAAAAAGTACAAACTGCCAGTTATAAAAAAAATAGTCACAGGGATGTAATGTATCGCAAAGGGAATATAGTCAATAATATTGTAATAATGATAGATGGGGTCAGATGGATACTAGACTTATAGTGGTGATGACTCCGTAAGGTATATAAGTACCTAATCACTATGCTGTACACATAAAACTAATATAATATTGTATGTCAACTATAATTAAAGTGTAAATTAAAAATTTTTTTAAAAGTCATTGCCAAACCCAAGGTCATCTAGATAACATCTTCTATGTTATCTTCTAGGAGTTTTATAGTTTTGCATTTTTCATGTAGCCTTGTGATCCATTTTGTGTCCATTTTTGTGTAAATGTAAGAACTGTGTCTAAATCAGCAGTTCCCAGCATTTTGGCACCAGGGACTGGTGCTCCAATGACAATATAATGCCTGATGACCTGAGGTGGAGCTGAGACGGTGATGCTAGCTAGCACTGGGGAGTGGCTGCAAATACAGATGAAGCTGCGCTCACTTGCCCGCGGCTCACCTACTGCTGTGCAGCCTGTTCTGAATGGGCCACTGACCAGTACTGGTCCATGGCCTGGGAGTTGGGGATCCTTGGTTTAGATTATTATTATTATTATTTGGAGGCATGGGTCTTCTACTTCTTACTGCATTTATTTCTTTAGATTTATTTCTAGATAAATATTCATCTTTTTTTTTTTTTTCTGATTGATCTCATTCATTCATTGTCATGGCTTCTCCTGTCTTCTAGAAAGGTACTCAAGTACCAGTCCATGGACTAGTTGCAACAGAATCAACAGAATCCAATAAGGGGGCTTATTAGAAATACAGCTTCCTCGGTGTCCTTAGGATTAAAACTTCTGAGACTCAGAATTTTAACATAATTTTTAGCAGAGAATCATATTTAAGGATGCATATTTAAGGGGATCTGAGGAGCAATCTTAGTAATCCCTGTTCTAGGAGATGCTGAACATATTTACATTTATTTCTTTAATCAATCCTGAGGGTTTACTGAGTTCTGCGTGCGCCTCCAACAGAGGAACATCCCCTTAGCCTTGACCTTGAACAAGCCATTTAGCCTCTCTTAGCCTATTTTCTCATCTGTAAAGTGAGAATGATAACATTTTCTCCCTTCCAGAGTTGTTGGGGGAATTAGATATTGCACTATTCTGACTCCACCACTGAGAAAGCACTCAATAAAAAACAGCTGTTATTTTCCGTCCTCCCGTAACACTTATCATGTGGTATTAGAGGGGACTCTCTCTGTCCTCAAAACTGTGAGCTTGTCAGCAGCAAAGACACGATCTCGTTCATCATTGTCTGCCAGCATCGACACATTATAGCCATTTGACAAATGCCTTGACTAGGTGCTGAAAAAATAACTGAGTGAATCGATTCTTCACATATGATGTCACAGAATTATGTGTGTGTTCGGGGAGGAACAAGAGACATAGTTGTGGCAGGAATGAAAAAAGAGAATGCCGACCACTTTTCTCATACATCTTTCTTGTTACTGCCCAGAAAAAAGCGGCATAAGTCTGTTGTTAAATCTGTGCCCCTTTTCCTTGCTTGACTGGCTTATGAGATCTAATATTTTTGCCATTTTGACTTTCCTTTCAGGACCTGCTGGGTCCTCTGCCCCTCCCTGCCATGGGTCCATGGGTACTAAGTTTTTGTCACTGTCACCAAGGAAACAGCAGAGATTCCTCATTCCACAGCTCTCGCATCTAAACTCTGGTTGCCTTTGTCCACTGAGCTAGCTAAATTCTTTGTGTGCACACTAAATCAACTGCCTGCTATACAGAACTTTACCCATTATTCTACCTTGGGGGCTGGGCGGGGGGGAACCCGATGTCTAACAATTTCCTTTCTTGGGAATGGCCTTTGTCCAGGCCTGTCAATACTCTTGAATGCACCAGACATGTTGGTCCCTATGAGCAAATATAAAAATTGCCTATTTAGCCTTTGCGGTGTGGGCAATATGAGTGCGGGTAAATTTTAAAGCACGCAACAGAGCATGCATAATGGGTTTCCCTTTTAAAAGCACAGTAAACCAAAAATAAACCTGACAAAGGACAGCTGTAGAGTTTTAACATGTGGAAAACTCTACAGGCGGCAGTTATGTAACTAGAAAAAAAAAACAACATGATAAATATTTCACACTGTTAGATGAACTTCCAACTCTGACATGTGAAAAGCAAAGGACACAAAACACACCTTAGCTCTCCAAGGAGCAAAATGTTTACAATGAGAGGGGCCCAAGGCAATTGCTAAAATCTGAGACTTGCTTCCAGCTGGAGTCTTGATAGCTTTTTTTTTTTTTCAACCCTCGAGTCCAAGGCGGAGCCGGCGAACCCCATCTCTCCGGAGCGCCTCCCTGGCAGCTTCGCTCCACAGCCAGACTTTTTAATACAAATCTCCACCTCTAGACTTAAAATCCCAAAAGAAGTTTTGCGCCAAAGAGGGGAAGAGAGGAGTTGGAACGAGGCAGGCGAAGTTCCCCCTCCGCTGCGCCCCCCGCCCCCGGCTCCGCGCCCTGGGGACAGCTGGCAGCCCCGCGCCGGACCAGACAAAGCGGATCAATCCCGGCGGCGCGGGGGTGGGAGGACGACCCGCCAGGGCATCCCTTCCGCTCTTCGCCTGCTCCTGCCCCATTAGGACCCAGCCGACACCTCGTCCGGCGTCCACGGTCCGCCCTCGGCCCCCCACCCCAAAAAGAAAGGCCCAGACCCCATCCCTGGGCTAGCGAAGACCTGGCTCCGGCATCCAGCTGAGAGCGCCCCAGGCCGGGAGAAACTGACGTCGCATCAGGGTCCGCCCCTCCCCTCCCTAGTCTCCACGGGTCTCTCCTCCTCTCTCGTCCCAGAAGTTCAGGGGCCCCCGCCCGGCCTCCCGCACTCCGGCCGCCGGGACCTTCGGCCTCCGACGAGCAGCCAGCTCGGGCCCCCGGGAAGATGGCGAGGAGGAGCCGCCACCGCCTCCTCCTCCTGCTGCTGCGCTACCTGGTGGTCGCCCTGGGCTGTAAGTTGCTCGGGTACCTCCGCCCTCCCACCCGCTCCCGCTGGGAGCCGCTTCCCCGGACCTCCAGCCCCAGACGCGGCGCTCGCGCAAGGCCGGCTCCGGGCTCCGGGCTCCGGGCTCCGGGCGGTGGGTCCGCCGCGGGGCATCGGACCCGGCCCCCGGCGCTCCCGGAATCCGCGGTGCAGGCAGTTGCGGGAGCGGGGGGGCCCGAGGTCTTTGGTTTATTGTCAGTAGCATCTGATTTTGTCAATTCTAGTAAGAGAAAATTAAGGGTCCACACCAGCAGGTTCTCGTTTTCTTGCAAAGTTGGGTTAAGTTTTCAAAGACAGAGGGACGTGATTAGAATGCAGAACTCACGAACTACTTGCAAGATGCTAAGATCCCAAGATGGCATCACTCGGAGGCTGCAGCGGGCCACACAAAGTACCGGAGGAAGGGGCGGTGTTGGCGTTTTGGGGGCTTTTCTGAGGGTCCCCATTGTGCCGGGAATTTGTAGTGCGCTCGTAGGGCAGCGGGTGGAGGGAATTCGTGGCTGCTGAGCCAGAATTACTTTTATCCTCTCCACCTGCACATCTACATTCAGTTAAAGTCTGTTGGGAGGACTCTAGCCAGCTGCTGTGTCCTCAGGGGACGCCCAACGGGACAATTGTTAGAAAGATGCTGAAGCTGAATGATTGATTCAGTAGCGGGTGAAGGGAGGGACGTGTTCCAACGCCAATTTCACGGGATGGTTCTAAAAAGGATTTTCAAGGATTCTGGGCTCGTGATTTAAAATTCTGGGAACGTTTCCTATTATTTTGTTTGCTCCGCGTTAACTTTTTAGAGAAATGGAGGACTTACACTAGAAATTACACTAGATCTTAAGCACTTAAGCAGTGAAGGCGTTTTTCTTTCGTTTTTCTTTTTTGTCGTTTTTCTTTATCTTTTCTTTCCTTTTTTTTTAAAAAAAAATTAATAGAATGAATTATTGTTGCTATTCAAGTTCTGGTAATATAATGCTTAAAATAACCCGCCCGATGAGCATCTAATACCATAGTGCAATGACTTTTCCTCACGCTGTCATTGCCTGAATATTGTGATGTGGTGTGAACACTGTCCCTTAGTGAGGGAGTAAGGTGCAAGTTGTCTCTGTGAAAGAAATGAGCTGACTGACCTATATTATAGAACATCAAACCAGAAAGGCAAGGCTTCACAATAAAGCCATTATACAATTTTGAAATATCAATTGGTATCATGTTGAACACACAGAAAAAAAAAATGAAAAGCAACAAAGAAGCAGGCTAGAGAAATCATAACAGACAGAACTGCTGGAGAAGTCATGTATTCAGTTGACGGTTCTAAATTTCAAATAAAAAAGACTGACTTTAGCGTAAAATTGTCACTAAAAACAGAGAAAACGGTTTTACTCTGCTATTACTGTTCTGATTAGAATAGAAATGATACACCCTAAGTTTGAAATTGTAGCCAAGAAACAACCAAGAGGCAAACACAGGCTTAGATGGATGGGCAGAATAACCTCTTCCTCAAGCTTTGGGTAAGTCTCACACATTAGCTCTTCTAACCCCATCCGGGACTACTTTGGAGGTGTGTAGGGATCTTTTAATATTGCTCCACGGGTGCCAAAAGTCTGGCATTGTGAGAATGTTTTCTTTTTCTTTTTTTTAAATAAACTTTTTAAATTTTATAACAGTTTCAATTTAAAGAAAAATAGTGAAGATAGTATAGAGAATTTTCATATACACCACACCCACTTTCCCCTATTTTGAATATCTTACTTAGTACGATACATTTGTCACAATTAATGAAGTAATAGTAATATGTTATTAACTAAAGTCCACACCTTCTTCAGTTTTCCTAATGTCCTTTTTTCTTCCAGGATCTCATCTAGGATACCACATTACATTTTAATAGTCTTGTCTTTTTCGTTTCTTCTTAGCTGTGACAGTTTCTCAGACTTCCCTTGTTTTGTATTACCTCGACAGATTTGAGGATTATGGCCTTCTGGTGAAATATTTTGTAGAATGCCCCTCAGCTGGTATTTCTCTGATGTTTTTCTCATGACTAGACTGGGTTCATGGGTTTTTGGGGAGGAAGATCACAGAAGTTAAGTGCTGTTTTCATCACATCATATTAAGGATACATACTATGAACATGAATTGTAACTGTTGATGTTAACCTTCATCACCTGGCTGGTAATGTACGTCAGGTTTCTCCATAGGCTACCCCCCTTTTTCCCCTTCCCATAGTGTATTTTTGGGAAGAAAGTCACTATGTACAACCCACGCTGAAGAAAGAAGAGTTATGCTCCACCTCCTTGAGGGTGGAGTATCGCCATAAATTATTTGAAATTCTTCTGCTTGGGAGATGTATCTCTCCTCCCCTCCACATTCATTCATTCATTCATTCATTCATTCATTTTCATATTAGCATGGGCTCATGAACATTTATTTTATACTTTGGATTATAATCTAATGCTATTTTATTTATTTTAGGGGTCAGATTATTACAGCGGTGACTATTGGTTAGTTCCTATGTGCCTATCGTGTGTGTACACTGTGTGTGTGTGTGTGTGTGTGTGTGTGTGTGTGTGTGTGTGTGTGTGTGTTTAGCATTTCCTTACTTTCTGGCACCACAATATGCTCCAGGCTTATCTTGTATTTATGTTTTCTGCTCCAGTCCTAGAATCAGCCATTTCTCCAACGGTTCCTTTTACTGGAGAATGGTGTTAGAAACCCAGATGTGGGCATTAGGTATGCTCATTGCTACTAGAGTGTTATTGAAAAACAAAAATGTTTTTTGGGCTCGGGTTTACTGTACAGTCTTATTTGTGATCTATCTACTCAGGTTTCATGTCCAGATTCAAAAACAGTATATTTAAGGCTTAGCATATATATATCAGACAGTGTTCCTTAAATATTCTTTCTTTTTAGGATGTCAACAAACTCAAGAGACAGAACATATCTTCAACTTATAGATAGTGACCCCAGGACAGCTGTTACTTGTCTGAATTCACTTATCTAGGCTGAAAAGAAGTGGAACTAGGATTTAAAAATCTGAGAATTTGTTCCATAGATAACTGGACTTCACTCCTCAATTTTTCTGAGTGCTTACCCCTTTTGCTTGTCTTCATTCAAGGAAAGAATGAAGTGGATTTAGTGGAATTTATAGGTTTCTTATTCTCTAATTACGTAGTCATCTTAATATTCATTCCAAATATAACTGTACCACCTGTTTGTCCTAGTCCTATCATGTGCAAATCATGCTTATTCCATTCTTTCCTTTTATTTCTGTTTGTCTTTTTTTCTTTCTTTGTAGTCTGGAGGATTCTTTTTGTTGTTGCTGCCATCACTTAAACTATGCTTTCAGTGTGCCTGTTGACGTATAGACATTTATTTGTGTTACTTGAATTCTCTTTTTATTTCCCATTAAAATGGAAGCTCCATAAGGGAAAGAATTTTGTGATGTTTGCTCACCGCTATATGGCCAGTGATGAGTAAGTACCTGGTTAATAATAGTAGCTATAAATATATACCTGTTGATTAGGTGGGAAGGGAATAAAGTAGAATGGATGGAAGAAATGGATGCATGGAATTAATGATCTCAATTTAAACTATGAATCCCTAAGTAGGTGGAGTGTCAGATTTCTCTGAGTTGACATTTAAGTTGATACCTCCAAAAACAATGGAAGTGAATGTTCAGTATCTGAGGCAGGGGAGGAAACTGTCATGCATTCTGGGATTTTCACAGCCAAGGAGTTGAGTAGGAATGAGAAGAGTGTGCTGTTCTTGACACTGTGGCTGGGGGCAGCTGGTTCTCAGATCTGGACTGGAACCCTGGTGCTGACCTAGTCTGGTGAGAGTATTTCAAGAGCTACACTCTTAGCTCCCCATTGTCTTGGCTCAAAAAGTCCTGAGCAGGAATCCTTGTGAGCCTAAGAGACAGGAGTTTTAGTTCTTCACCAAAGAGTCTTGCCTTTTTCTCTTTCTCCTTCTTATGCCATTGGCATCGAGTTTTTATTTGTTTGGTTGGATTTTCTGGGTTTTTTTGGTTTTCAAAGTTTCTCACAGGGATGGTTTGGGAGAGATTTGTCTTTATATTTGTAAGGAGCGGAAAAGCCTAGCTGGGTCTTTCCCCTTTGTATGAGGCATTTTCAGTTTGCTTGGTCTCATTTTGTCACAACAGTCACCTGCTGTTTTTAATTTTAGCTTTGCTCACACTGTAAAAACTTGGTAAATACTTTATTATAGACATAGTCAAAGACAAAAATAGATTATTTTTAAATGCCTTTACTTATATGTTTAAAAATAATATATGTATATGGTAAATTCAAACTGCACAGAAAGGTTGTAAAATGAAAAATATATCTCCTTTCCAGCCCTCCTGACTTCTATGCCATTCCTCACAAGTAACTTTTAACTTCCTTGTATATGTTCCAGAAAAAATGGGAGGAAAATATAATGGCAGCATATATGATATAGTTTCTTTGAAAATGAAGATTGGCTATGCTTGTTACCAAACTAAAGGAGTTTGTTTACCTGTGCACATCAAAGCCAGATGAGACATGAACAGGAGTTTGCAGCCAAGAAAGTAAAAGTTTATTTAGGGAATTAGCACCGGAGACACAGGTGAGCTAGTGCTCAAAGACCTGGCTTCCCTGTAGCATGTAGGTTATAGATTATATAGTGCAAAATCACGAGACACCATAGGTTAGTGGTTCCGGGTCGTGTTTGGAGATAATTGGTTGGAGGTAAGGTAAGGGTAATGAATCATTTCTTCAGGTCCTGAGGACAGTTCTGAAGTCTTTCTGGAGTTCTTCTGTCTGGTCTTATGGGAAAGTAGCGAGGTGGTTTTCCTACCTTAGAGCTCAGGAGCTGGAACATAACTTAGGCCAAGATGTTATTGTTAGCCTGCCAGAGGTCCAGACTGTGTGACCATTAGTCAGGGCCAGCTGCTGTCTGCTGCTGCCTCCAGTGTTGCTGATTACTTGGGGGATTTCTAGA